TCGGGTATTACTCTGTTGGAGTCTTTTAGTTGATTTTAGTTGTTTTAGTTGGTTAGTTTATTTGCGAGCTTTATTCTAGCGTTGCTAGTCGGGACTCTAGGCAGTCTTCTGACCTGCCCTCCCACTTTTTCAGCTGTTGGGTGCTGTGTATAAAGTCGTTGGCTGCTGTGTATTCGCACATTTGTGCATTTTGATTTATAATATATCTATCGTTTTGGGAAAAAAAAAACTATTAATAAATGTGTTATTTAGGTTTTCCTTACATGATATAATTTAAATTTATTTATCAGGCTTTTAAATTCCAATATTTAAAGGAAAATATCACAAACAGATTTTTTTGGTAGTGACAGTCCTATCAAAGTAATTAATATAATTATATTTATTTACTCGGATTTTTTAAAATATAATTATAATAATATTTTGAATTAATCAATATTTTGTCTAACCAGATTTATCATTAATAAACTTGCCAATTTTATTTAAATTAAAAAGGCAAGATTATTCTTACGGGTATATTTACCAGAATATTAAACACTTTAGAAACTTTTATTAAAAACATTTAATAAACACCCGTGTGGATCTTTTTCGTATATTTTTCTTATGTTAAAAATTAAAATAAAATTCTTTTTGAAAGCAAAATTAATTTTTTCCTCAAACATTTAAAATTCGTACATTTATTGGTTTCTGATGGGATGACGTAAGTTGAGATTTTCAACCAAATTTCTAATGTTGTCTACTTTGTTACTTAAACTATATTGACTTTAATTTGATAATAATTTTCAATTTTTACTTTAATTAGATTGATTTTGATTTTATAATAATAAGAATAGGATTTTCTATTAATTGTTTGATAAAAAAAAAATTAAATAAGGAATAAAAAAAGATAATATAGGATAATATTTGGATTTCTCTTCCAATTTGATCAGTAATTTGGCTGGTTGACCATAGAATAAATTGGTATGAAACAACATTGAACTTGAGATATGAAAGTGCTTAAACAAATTAGATTATTTTGATGTGTAAAAATAAAAATAATAATGATTTTAGTTTAAAGCCTAGATTCTTTCTATTATTTTTTGTACATAACAATCATTGATTGGATAATTAATTTTTCTTAAAAAAAATCAAAACTGCAAGGTTTAATAATATTCTTAAATAAAAAATATTGTGTAACGAGAAGTGTTTAATAATATATATTTTTTATTGTTTGTATTTACTTTATTTCCATAATGAGACGAAATGTGTAAAATATAAACAATAATATTTAAAATAAAGTCTAAAAAATATTTAAAATATGAGTTCCTCTGTGCACCGTGTGCATCGCACGGGATATGCGCTAATGATTTGGAAGAGGTATAGATTAAAAAGAGCTCTCCAACCTGAAGTTACATCATATAATATTTCACAACATCAATTGTAAATGTATGTACGATTAATTTTTTTGTCTGTTTCCCTAAACAAATATTTTCTCATAAAATTAACAAATATTTTCTTATTTAATTGACGTATTGAAGAAAAAAAATATTAATTATTTAACATCGGAACTTAAACTGCAATTGTGTTTAAAATTAAGACAACGCAAAATGTATAATATAATCAGTGTTTTAAAACGCGTATAGCGTAATGCGTCGCGTTTTGGTCTTGATACTGCGT